TTCCCAGCCCTAACCTTAACTATACAGTATAAGTAAACAAACATAATACGAGAAGTCCCCACAATGTAATAAAAACCTGTTTTTTTGTGTTTTATTACATTGTGGGGACGTTAATTATTCCCCACAATGTAATATAAACCTAATCTACATACACACACACACATACACAACACGCGCCCACGCGTGCAAAGGTTATTTCTATGTCTTTCAAAAGCAAACAGACAAATGGACGTGACTTTATGCCCATTCAGAAGCGTTCAGCTGTAACGAAATATGTGTGACACGTGACGCGCATAGAAGAACTTTAATCTATTTAATTTTCGGTTTCGTTCGTACAAGTAAAACCGTCACCTCATTCGAACCATAAACAAATAAAGGCAAATAAATGAAATAAAATCACCATGAGTAATCAGGTAAGCAGCGACTGTAACGAATTATGCAATAAGCAGTATTACGCTGTTTTAACGTAACAAAACTTGTAGATTTAAGAAATGAAAGTAATTACCGATCGTAAATATTTGGCTCGTCTTTTTAAGCGCCTTAAATGCCTTAAAAGTGACAAAACACGATGTTTAATGGTTATAGTATTGTCTAAAGTACCTGAGATGTGTAAAATACAATACGATTTAATCTATAGTTTACCAACACAGCTGTATAGAAATCGTTTTGAATTTATTTCCTAATGAAATTAAAAACGCCACATCCATCTACACCTTTTTATTTCAATACTAAATTATTTGGTTTCATGACTATATGAAGAGATATGCTATGCACAGGTTAACAGATGACATTGGAAGGTTGCTGTAGTGTTTCTTAATTGTCAGTGCTTATATGGTTTCGCTTTTGATTTTTTTTATTTCAGACGAACTGCATGCAGCGCTTTCGGGGTAAGTCTGCCGCAAGACGCGATTGCTTTTAGGCTATATAGTTGCCTGTTTGAATATTTACAGCAAATATGATCCGATAGTGAAACTAAATTTCCAAACTCAGAAACACACACGACCAGAATGATAAGTGTAATAATAACAACAATAATAATAATAATAATAATGTAAAAATTAAAAAGTAATCCTTATGCGCATTTTATACTGGTTGAGTATAATGTTGAGTAATGAAATAAACCTGGATTTGAATCAGCAGGTTACATTTTTCTCCGTATCGTAGCGTTGTTTAAGATTTTGTTTACTTGGTAATAAGGCATCTCAGTAACGCCCCCACCTCCACCCCTATGGGGCGCCGTTTGTAAAAGGTACTAAACATTTTTTTACTTGCCACTTTTTCAACATTTAGTGCAATTTTCTGACATTTAGCTAGAAGTCAGTGGTGTTGTGGATCATCAGATTATGTTGCTGTGTAGATTATTTTCAGAATTGTTTATCATATGTAAATATAAATGGTATGTCTATATATAAATATTAAATGTAAATGCTAAATATAAATGTTAAAAGTTAAATGTAAATACAAAAGTTAAATGTAAATATAAATCTTAAATGTTAACATCTGTAAAACTTAATGTAAAACAAATGTAAATGTAAATATAAATGTTAACTGTAGACTCTAAATGTTGAGAACGTATGCAAATTCGGCACGTCCATCTGCATAGAAATGGGCGGTAACGACGAAAGCGCGCTAAGTGGTTGCAGGTTAGGGCTGATGGAGGACAACATGGCGAATTCCGCTCACTTAGAGGCCATAGAACGTGCAGTTTTGGCAGGTGTTCGCGCTGCGTTACATGGTATTGCTACACAGGCCGGGAGCAACATCATCTACACATTCCACTGTGACATCGGGAAGTTATGAATGTATTTCGGGGCGGGAGGGGGATCAGTAGTATCGTATAAATTCGCCTTTCATTTTTCCCACCATGCTTTAGTTCACAGGTGTCAGACTCCAGTCCTGGGGGGCCGGAGTCCTGCACATTTTTGGGTTTCCCCTCATTTAAAACACCTGATTCAACTTCTTGTGCTAATTACCACACAGTTCTTGGGCTGCGGCCCTCCAGGACTGCAGTTTGACACGCCCTGCTTTAGTTTGTGGCGGCAGTTCGTAAGATGCTGCTGCTGAACGTTTTTCGGAAATGGCGAGAAATTGCTTGCAAAACGGCAGGTCCAATCACAGGAACTATGAGGATAATAATCCATTGCGGTTATTGGTCACTGTTATGCGTTGCTCGTTCGCATGTTGGTAAATAAACTGATGCGCGAGCATGCGATGTTTCATGTAATGTGTTTAGTGATTTTGCATGAGGTAATAATGGTCCTCGGAATATCTCAAGAAGCGAGAGAAATGCGCAGTATGCATTATACAGATGTTGTAGTGCCTAAAATGTGACATGGTAAAGAATTCTTATCAGTCTACTGGGAAAAAAACTATCCCTGCCCGTCATTGTTCCGATACTGCGTTATAAAATCTTTTACGATTTTCGACTATATTAAAATGACATAGAGTTTACATTACAAGTCAATTTAATTACTTCTAGTAAGTAAGCTTTTGAAACTGTTGGTGATTTCAAAATGCATTTACTTGAAAAAGGTACAGTAAAAGTTGACCAAATTTAGACTGGCAGTAGTGTGGGACCTTGCCTTTCAGATGGTGTAAAACTCGTGTATGCATTATTGAAAAATCTGAGAAAAGGCCTATCAAACTTGGCTCGTGTCAACAATTGCATAAAGTAATTGAAACTGGTGGTTATTTCAAAGGGCATTTACTTGACAATGGCATATACAAATGTTATCCAAATGTTAACAGACTGGTAGTAGTGAAGGACTTGGACTTTCAGAAGGAATAAGACTTGTTTATTCCTAGAAATGGACTGCCAAATTTCTCAGTGCCAATTAGCTCAATAAGCCACTTAAACAGATAATGATTTTAAAGTTTTACTTGACAATGGTACAGTCAAAGCTGGCCAAATTTTGACTGGAAATGATGTATAATTGACATGGCATTTTGAAAATTCTCAAAAATGGATTGTCAAATTTAGCTTGTGTCAAGGAGTCGGGGTGGGGTTCTTGTGCGAGGGCGTGGCATGGTGCAGGCTGGGAAGGACGAACCACTGGTGGCTCAGGGAACATCGGGGTCCATTAACAAGACAGAAATCACTACAAAACAGACCTCAAAGGGTCAAAAACCAAAATAGGAAAAACAAAGACTCAAAAGTTCAGCACAACATGGAGCAGCCAGAGAACAAAATACAAAACTACACAGGGGACCATTCTCAATACAACTGAAACACTCCACTGACATACAACAAACCACTAAGGAACTGAACTAAGGAAGGAACCTAAATACACAACTGAACCGGGTAATGCCACAGAAGGAGTGAGACATGAAACAATTAACCAATCAGGAAGGGGGCATGACACAAAGACTGGCACAAGAAAACAGGCAACAGACGAAACTAGGAACTGGGGGATCAAACAGGGAACCTAAGAAACTGACAGAGACAGGGAAACCAAATCTAACACTGGGGAATAACAGACAGGTAAATACACAATGATACAAATGAAACACAAGGGAGCAAAATACCAAAAACAGAGAAAGCAGGATTAGAACACATGACAGAGGGGTTTACAGGTAGCCACATGCTCATCTCATTGAGCCATGCAGCCAAAAAGGAGGGATGGAAACACTAAAGACTGACAACAGGGAGGACAGGCTGGTCAGCGACACCTGCTGGCCAAACGGGGAGAAGACATGAAAGACTCAGACAGATGGATGCTGACCCTGACAGCTTGTGTCAAAAAGAATACAAAGCTGTCGAAACAGTTTTATCAAAGTAGATTTAGTTGAAAAATTATAGCAAAACTACCACATTTTGACTGGCAACTGTCTAGAGGATGTTGTCTTTCATATGATACAAAACACTTTTAGGCATTATGGGAAAATTCTGAAACAGACAGCCAAACATAGCACACTTGTTAAAAACTGAGGAAATCTTTTAAACATATGATCTTTTTTTAACTAGATTTACTTGCAAAGTAATTTGTAGGTCATTTTTAAATAGTGGAAAAGTGTAAAAGATTTGATAGCACAATAGCAGAATAATGGCAGACATAAATTTCTCCCAATAGTCCTATAAGAATTATTTACATGTGTTTTTTATTGTCACATTTCAGGCACTACATCAAATTCATTATGCATATTGCACATTTCACCTTTGCTCCATTGAGCCATTCTGAGGATCAGCTGTACTGCATACAGTACGTGCATAAATTCCCAAAAACCAAATAGTACATATTCCAAAATACATACATATTTCGAATCCGTATAAAAATTAGGTTTAATCACATAAAATATGTTCAGTAAAGTGCGGAAAAGATCAGAATCATTTGCCAGTCTATACTCTATACAAATTCTACAGCCCCCCCACCCTCCCAGAAAATTTATGACCTGATCATATATTTGTCTTTAGTCATAAACAATTATCATTGGTTGTTAATTTCAATCAAATTATTTAGCCTGTTTCCTTCAATTGTGCAACTATTAACGTTTTATCATGGTTTTCTCTACTATCATGTCCCCTAAATGCCAGAATTAAATTGCGTCAGTCAGCCTTTTCAGAATCAATTATTCTGAAAGAACACTGGCTTAGTGAGACAGAAATTAGTCTTCAATGAAATTCCTTTTAAGGATGGTGCAGTTTTGTACTATATTTTGTCAGACATTTTTTGTACCACCACTCCTTACTGGTTTCACACGGGAATGCGAGTTGTGATGATACATTGGGCATTTAAAAGATATTTTAATGTGATATTTAATGTGATAATGTGATATGAATGTTACATTTTTGTTTCTTCTTTGGTGAGGCACTGCTTCACCTGTTGTCTCTATAGAAACATCCACTGATTTAGAGAATATATTTATTTAGATCAAGTTAAATCCTTAAATATCCTTACAAAACTCTTGTTTAACCATATTCTCCTACATCATTTCCACTGTATCTGTTTAAATTAATTTATTACAACTGACTCAAGATGGAAATATTTTCCAGATTGGCTTCTCAGCTGTTGCTGCTGTAGACCACATGACATCCCCATCGGTAACTATGACATTCTGCATAATTCCTCTTCTGATAAGTCCAGTGATTCTCAAATTCGGCATCTGCTATTCGATATGATTCAGTTTTGGTCAGATTCAACATAAATGAATTCAACATTTATGCATTTTCCATCTAAATTCGAAATCTGACCATCATTTTCAACTTCGTATTACATCATGGTGTCATCCAAGTGGAGAAATGTTCTTTCTGTTCATGAGAGTTAAATTTCTTTTCTCTTAAGTCCACGTGCTGTTTGCCAGAGAGACCTTCCAGGCTGATGAAACCTTCATGCAAAAGCTGAAGCTGCAGATAGATCAAAACTGCAGTGCAGAGAGCAGCGACGTCATCCTGCTCTTCTGTCCTGTTGTTTCTCGGATTGGGACAGACATGGAGGCAGCAATGGCCAGAGTTACAGGTGAGACAGGATTCAGTCTCTACTTGGGATATGAAATACTAACAAAAATAAAAAACTACAACTGACGGATATTGTGAAGACCAGAAGACCATGTCTTCATAGAGACAGCAGTGATGTATTCAGTAGATGCTGCCTTGAAGAAGTTGCTCTGAGTGTAAACACACATCAACCATCTGTCCCTGTCTGCTCAGTTTTTCCACTGAACCTCACTTTCACTCAAACCTGTAAAATGAGGACAATGTATTTCCATATTTTTGCATTTTCGTTATTTTGAAAAACAAGATAACATGATTTGTAGGTAAGATAATGAAGCACAGAGCATGATGGGATTCCAGTCCACTGGAGGGTCCAAATCAGTTTATCAGCAATTTAGAGACATCAGTTATCTCTTTGTACTGGGGGAGAAAAAGTGCATGAGCACTAGGGGATCCTGCCAACTTCACAGGAAACAAACACCCAGCACTAGGGGTGTGAGGATATGTTGGTACCCACTGAACCTCATAACATTTTTATAGAATTAATACTTTTAAAACTCCACCAGACAGTCAAACATCTAAATACTGTATACAGTCAAATGGATGCATGCAGTAGGACTGCAAAATAGTTTTTTTTTTTTTTTGAGAACATAGCAGTAGATTCCTTCTCTGGGCAATCAATGGTCTTTTTTCCCCCAGACATGTTTTCTTGTAATAGAGCATATAGGGACAACAACACTGGTGACTGCCAATACCAACAGTTTGTCTCTTCCACAGAAGACAAACCTGTCATCCTGGTGTTCATGCACCATTGTCATAACCCCAGTCACATGACCAACATCACAGTGCAACCATCCAGGAGAAACATAGAGCAAGTCGTCCACTGCGCCTTCCATGAAACTAAAGGGCTGCTGGAATGTCAGGAAAATGAGCAGGCGGTCAAAGCAGTGAGATCAACACTGCTGAGGTACAAGTTCAGAAACAGACCCTCTGCAGGGGGAAGCGAGTATTAATGCAAACAATGTGGACACACTCAGGATTTTAATCAATTTAATCAATTATCTTCAGAGTGTGTAAGAAAACTGCCTCATTGTCCTGCTGTGAAGTTTAACTGTATATGCAGAATATTTCTTACTAGGAAACATCCAAACATACAAAGTATAAAAATTTTATTACAAATTGCACATTTTACATGTCAGGAGAATGGTCAACATCTTATTTGACAGAAAAAATTGAAGATAAATTTAATGTAAAGATCTAGCAAATAGTTAATCATAAGGTTTAACAATAGCTATCACAAGATTATGTACCAGTGTTTTATTACATAAACATATGCTTTTTTACATACGCTCTGTAGGTGTGTTGATTCACAAGATGCGGTCCCACAGTTGACTAAATCCCAATCAGAAGAGAAGCAGCCGCTGTTGGCTTTCCAAGATTCTTATGGGCCAAACATCACTAATAACAGCAAGCTTTCTGGGAATGGCACAGATCCTGCAAGTAAGGAGAGTGAATCTGAGCAGAGGACGATTGTATCAGCAATGGAACATTCCACTGGCCCTTCTGAAGGTAAAGGGTGTCTTGGGGCCTCATTGAACTCTACATGCAGACAGACACTGGACACTCCAGCCTGTGGACAAGTGGCCATGAGCACAGTGTGTACAAAAATAGATATTCCAAGTAACAGGACTAACCATAAAGTTGAAGGCAATCCTGCAATATGGTGGAACTGCAGCATTTTATTTTTGCAACTTAAAATGCTCAGACATAGAATGTCAGGGGTTAATCAGGTATTTGCTGCAGTTCAGTGTTACTGCTGATTACAGTCTCACCACTTCTTGCTGTCCATTGGCCCACTGAAGATAAATGTTTCTAATCAAATCTAGTTTCAGCTGTCAGGAGGCCACTAGGGATCACATCTCTCTGGATGTAGTGGAACGACCTTTACAAATTTCTTTACATAACATAGTAGCTTTATCAGATTATGCTCCATCAATTTCAAAGTGATATTCTGTTAGGTCCATGTATTAAATTGGAACCATTTTATGTTGTGTTATGATATGGCTGATAGGTAGCGTGGATCTGCGCATTGATGTGACAGGTGATTAATTGTAATTCATGTAGAGCCACAGAGCAATGTAATGTATGTGTATAGCTGATAGCCAGTAAAAATCTGCGTTACCTGAACACTGGTGTTTTGTAGTGATTATCCTGTTGTGAAAGTGCACAAACACAACATATTCCAAATAAATTTTTGCCTCACAATAAATGTGTTCAAAATACATATTACACCTCCAGTATTTGTATTATTACTGGAAGCAATCTCATCCCTTCTTATTATGGGAATGAGACTGAGAAAGGCTGATGTGAGATTTGATTCTTGACGCTGGGACACCGTGTTGCTGTTTCCATGACCAAAGTTCTTGTACAGCATATGATACCGACTGGTCGTATAGCTGGTCATAAGTCTGGGNAGAATGATTCCTGGTCTTAGAGGAATGTCTTATGAGGAGAGGTTAGCTGAGCTGAATCTGTTTAGCCTCGAGCAAAGGAGACTAAGGGGGGACATGATCCAGGTATATAAGATTCTAACGGGTCTGGATGCTGTTCAGCCAAATGGCTACTTTAATATTAGTTTAAATACTAGAACTCGTGGCCTTAAGTGGATATTAGCGGGAGAACATTTTTAAATGAATTTGAGAAAGCCCTTCTTTACACAGCGTGTAGTTAGAGTATGGAATAGTATTCCTGTTTGCGTACTACAAGCTAAAACCCTGGGTTCCATTAAATCAGAGCTAGATAAGATTTTAACAACTCTGAGCTATTAGTTAAGTTCTCCCCAAATGAGCTTGATGGGCCAAATGGCCTCCTCTCGTTTGCAAATTTATGTTCTTAACATCTTATGTGACTGAAAAATTAAAGATCTAGCAAATAATTAATCGTAAAGTATTACAATAACTATCACAAGATTATGTAACAGTGTTTTATTACATAAACATATACTTTTTTGCATACACTCTGTAGGTGTGTTGAGATCACACGGTCTAAGGTTCCTCATACCCAATCAGAAGAGGAGCAGCCGCTGTTGACTGCGCAGGATTCCAATTCACGAAACATCATCAATGACAAGCTTCACAGGAAGGGCAATGATCATGCGGGAGAGGAGAGAGAATCTTGTCAGAGGATGATTGTACCAGCAATGGAACATTCCACTGGCTCATCTGAAGGTAAAGGGGGTCTGAGTGACCTCTACATGCATACAGACACTGGGCACTGCAGCCAGTGGACAGGTGGCCATGAGCACAGTGTGTACAAAGATACATATTCCAAGTAACGGGATCAACTACTAACCCAAAAATACATATTAGCAGTGGAAAGCAAAGCTGCAGTATGGAGGAAATTAAGCATTTTATTTTTGCAAGTTAAAAAGCTCAGGCATAGAATGTCAGGGGTTAATCAGGTATTTGCTACAGTTCAGTGTTACTACTGATTGCAGTCTAAACACTTCCTGCTGTCCACTGACCCACTGAAGATAAATGTTTTTAATCAAATCTAGTTTCAGCTGTCAGGAGGCCACTAGGGATCACATCTCTCTGGATATAGTGGAACGACCGTTACAAATTTATTTACATAACTGAGTAGCTTTATCAGATTATCCTCCATCCAATTCAAAGTGATATTCTGTTAGGTTCATGTATTAAATTGGAACTATTTTATGTTGCGTTATGATATGGGTGATAGGTAGCGTGGATCTGCACATTGATATAACAGGTGATTTTACCATAATGCATCTAAAGCTGAAGAGTGATGTAATGTATGTGTATGGCTGATACCCAGTAAATATCTGTGTTACCTGAATGGTGGTGCTTTGTAGTGATTATCCTGTTGTGAAACACAACATCCATCCATCGTCCAACCCGCTTATCTTACTGGGTCGTGGGGGGTCTGGAGCTGATCCTGGAAGCAACGGGCAGGAGGCAGGGAACAACCCTGGACGGGGGGCCAGCCCATCACAGGGCACACTCACACACGCACACCTAAAGGCAGTTTAACAATGCCAGTTAGCCTCAGCATGTCTTTGGACTGTGGGGGGAAACCAGAGTACCTGGAGGAAACCCCACGACGACATGGGGAGAACATGCAAACTCCACACACATGTAACTCAGGCGGAGACTTGACCCCAGGTCCCAGAGGTGTGAGGCAACAGTGCTAACCACTGCATCACCATGCCGCCCCTTGAAACACAACATATTCCAAATAAATTGTTGCCTCTCAATAAATGTGTTCAAAATACATATTACACCTCTAGTATTTTTATTATTATTGAAAATGATCTCATCCCTTCTTACTCTCCACTGGCCCACTGACTGAAAGTAAATGTTATCAGTCTTTGGCAGAGAGAATAGATTTAATAAAATCCATTGTCAACTGTCTGATGATCACTAGATATCACTTTTCTTTGGATCTGGGGGGTGCCCTTTCTAAATTTCTTTGCACAGCTTACTAGTTTTACCAGATTCTCCTTGTTCCATTTTGAAATGATTGTCTAAATACAGACACTCCTCACTTAACAATACAGTTCCGTTCCTATGACTAGGACCTATGACTTGGTTGATAAGCGAGAAGCCGCCCCTCAACCATATTTCAAGCATAATGTACTGGTAGTGGGTTTGCATCAACCATCTTTAGATACTGTTTTAATGTCACCTTATGACATTTTTAGTATATTTATAAATGTTATGCAGTAGTGTGCTGTATAATATAATAAACAGAATGGAGGAAATCAGCTGTAATATACATGACTTAGCTTTGCGTACTGGAAATACAGGTAATGGTTTTTATTTATTCTGTATAAAGAAAAGGTCTAGAAGAAACTCCAACTTGATAACTTTGTTTTAATTTGCATATCTTGATGATTTCATTACATTGGTCAACCAGATTTTTCACACATTCTATGTCCGCACTTACCAACTCACCACTGATACTCCGATTATGCAGATAGAATCTCCATGGCTTTCCATGTAGTCCTGGAGAATGCAAACACTAGTGTAGTTAATACTGACCGATAATGGGAATGAGACTGAGACTGTGAAAGGGTGATGTGAGATGAGATGCTTGATGCTGAGACACCACGGTGCTGCTTCTATAACCAAAGTTCTCGTACAGCATATGATACCGACTGGTCGTAGAACTGCTCGTAAGTCTGGGTGGTCATTAAACAGGTAGGTCGTTAAGTGAGGAGAGTCTGTAAATTGT